CCTTTAGAATATATTCAGAATCTGGTCCTATCACACCAGCTTCTCCACTGTCTCCTGATCCAAGTCCCCTGGATCAATCATCTCTCACCTGGACTATTACAAGAGATTCCTAACTAGTGTCCCAGCTCTCACCTTTACTGCCACGCCTCCAGTTTCTTCACAGTAGTTAGGGTTTTCCTATTAAAATGGAAATCCATTCATGTCAAGCTTCTGTTCAAAATCTTCCATCTTCCTTGGAATAAAAGCTCACAGTCTAGCCCCGTTACCTCTGACCTCATTTCCTGCTCCTCTCATCCTTTAAAAAATTTTAGTCTTCATCCCCTGCACTCTACCTCTTCCCTGCTTTGTTTTCCTCCTTAGCTCTTATCCTCTAATGTAAAGTGTAATTTATTTTTTCTGTTTATTGTCTGTTCCCCAGCAGTAGAATGTAAGCTCTATGGTGGCAGAATTTTTGTCTGTTTTGTTCGCTGCTATGGTAGGTGCTTAGTAAACATTTGTTGAGCGTGTCAAATTTGTTGAAAAGGAGAAGTCTGTGGGAAGAGCAGGTTTTATGGGGGCAGAAACAAAGAATTTTGTTTAGACAATATTAAGTTTGGGATGCCTGTAAGGTATCTTGATGGAGGTATTAAGTAGAAAGATGGACCACTAGTCCTGTCAAGAGGCCTGGACTGGAGATACACATTAGGGAGTCATCATGAGGAACTGAATGCCAGTTCCTAGGGAGAGTGTAGATAGAGAATGAGGAAGTTCCAAGACCAATGCCTGGGGCACTCTAATATTTAAGATAAGGTAGAGGAGTAGCTAGCAAAGAAACAAAAAGAAGAGTGGATAAAAAGAAAACCTAGCAATGGCACCAATCATCTAGTCTCCAGTTAACCATCCTGGCTCCAGAGTACTCTTTCACAGTCTGGCACTCTGCCTTGGGTAGATTTGGCTTACAATGGAGGGCACACTTACGGTTTCTTCATGACCTTTGCTCATATGCTTGGCCCTAGGCTCCTCCATCTGGGGGATTAGAACATGGTGGTTAAGAAGACAGGCTCTGGAGTCAAACAGCCTGATTTTTAAACCGCAGCAATCTCACCTACCAGCTTGTACCTTGAGCAAGTTACCTCAGTTTCATCGGTGGGGAAATAATAGTACCTACTTGATAGAATGGTTCTGAGGAGTAAATCACTCATTATTTTCTCAACTGAGTAGTATATAGCAGGTGTTCAAAAAATGGTATCTGTGTACTCTTCTCAGGGCTTGGGTCTCAGCATCTCCTTCCAAGTAGTCTAGGACCTGGACTCTGATAGCACAGCCCTTCCCCACTCCTGTCCACTAGAGTAGGACCAGTTTCTTTCTCACGTAAGGCTATGACATTCTGGCATCTAGTCATAGGACACAGGATCTATTTGCTGTTGGCTGAGCTATAAGTCAAGTTTCATAAAGCTGTTGACCAGTACAAAGTTACCTTTGGATTCACAATGCATTTTAAGTTAACAAAAAACTCTACTTGATATTCGTACACTCTTTTTTTTCTCTAAGGGAGGAAAACATCTGGAAAAGAAGAGTCTCATACACAAACTGAAACCTGAAATACCAATCCCCAGGGTAGAGAATCAGACCTTATGAAACATGCAACTCCTTTAACATAACAAAATTTGCACATGTCAGTCCAAAAGCTAGAATCACACTTAATAAGGACACCTAAATTATTCCGATTGAAATTAGGTATTCCATAAAGTTAGGATGGCCCCTATGATGATTTCACATTGCTTTGGAAGTGCTAGCCTACTTAAATACAGAAGGGAAAGGAATGAGATAAAAATGAGGAAAGAAGAGGTAAAATTATCATTATTATGTGATAGCTTATCTCAAAAATCCGAGGATTCAACTGAAAATACAAATAAGACATTTTAGCAAAGTGGGCACAAATTAATATACAAAAAGCCAATGAACCGCAGCCAATTAGAAAGTATAGGAGAATAAAATATATCATTTACCATAGCAACAACAAAGTCAACTAACCAAGAGTAATCTTAATATACTAGATCTAGGTGCTCAAAACTAAAATGCTAAATCGTAGGACACAAAAGGAGGTTTGAATAAATGGAAAGGAATACTCTAATTTGGGGTAGAAAGACTTGCTATCGTAATGTTGTCGGCTCTCTATAAATCCGTAAATTTAACACTATCTAATACTAATACTACATGACCTGAATATAAAGTTCATATGGGAATTTTTGCATCAGGAGTAGCCATGAACATTCTGAAAAAGAAGGTTAATGAAGGGAATAGCTCTACCAGATATTAAACCATTAAAAGCTACAATAATTAAAATAGTAAAATCAGGAGACGGTGCATACATAGGCAGTTTGGTCCAGAGTCCAGACAGACCTAAGAGATTTAAAATGTTAGTTCTTGATAAAGATGGCATTGTCTATCAGTAGAGAAAAGATGGGTTGTACAGTAAGTGGTATCAAGACAATTGTGTAGCCACCTAAAAAAATATTATATGGTATCTCTAGTCCTTACACTAAAACAAATCCATATGAATCAATTTTGTTTAAATAAATGTAAAACCATAAATTTATAATGTCAGTACAGAATGTGTTTTTCAGAATAGCATAAAATTTTCTAAAGCATAAAAAAAATTCTGTCAACATAAAAAATCTATAATTTCTGCAGAGCAAAAAATATTATAAACAAAGACAAAGCAAACTGGGGGAAATATTTGCAACTCATATCATAGACAAAGGGATTAATTTGCTTCATACATACAAAATCCCTTCAAATCAATAGGAAAAAACTAAAATCCAATAAGAAAATGGATGGTTAATGTAAAAGGAAAGATAAATGGTTCTTAAATATATGAAAAAATATTCAACCTCGCAAGAAAACTGAAACTATATTTAGATATCATTTTTTACCTATACATTGGAAAAAAAATTTTAATGTTTGATAATAGACCCCTGGCGTGGTTGTGGGGACATAGGCCCTCTTTATCTGTTACTGATAGAACTGTAAATTGTCGATACTTGTCAAAATTACAAATGCATGTAACTTCTGATCCAATATTTGCACACATGCAAAATAAACTATACACAAAGTTATCAACTATAGCATTGTTATAGGAGCAAAAGTTTACAAATGACTCAAACATCTATTACTAGAAGACTAGTTAAATAAATTATGATTCCTCTATACAATGGCATATCATACAGAAAGGCTGA